TGTGCACACAATCTTCTCATAGCCAGGCATCCATGGAATGTCCTCAGCCCAGGTAGGAGGCCCTAAAGACACAGGGCACAGACTAGTCACAAAACTGCAGGGGTCTATTGAGAAGCAACTGGTTGACTAAACTCATGAACTGTGTACAAACTAGGAGCTTGAGATGCATGTGTGCTCAGTTGTGTCTGACTCTGTGACCCCATGGACTGCAGCCGGCCAGGCTCCTCTGTCATTGGGATTCTTCAGGCAAGAATACTGGAGCGGGTATCCATGCCCTTCTCTAGGGGTCTTCCAGACCCACGGGTCAAACCTGGGCCTCCTGCATTACAGGTAGGTCAGGGTAGGTAAGTGGATATTAATTCATTTCCTGTGCGTGTCTGAGGCCACAAAGAGATGCACAGTATCCCATCTTCTGAAGAAAACCAGACTCCACATTTGCATTGGAGTGTAGCTCATTCTCTTGTTTTCTTGGATTCTTTAAAGATATAATTTTATAGCAATCTTAATTTGGAGTTACGTATTTTCTAGCACTACCTTAGAGCACTGCAGAGAAGCTAAGGTTGCACATTCTCAGTAGCTAATTCTTCTGGGTTTCTGGAAACCCATGTATATGAAAGTGAAAGGGCTCAACTCATGGTCCGTACAAAGACAGGGTTCAGCATGCTGGCTGCTTCTCCTGACCACACTCGCTGACCGTCACCCTCGCACTGGGGTGGAGCAGGGGCAGCTGTTGAGTGTAAAAAGAGTCTTTCCTTTTCTCTCACGCAGTTGACTCTCTAGGTGTGGACTTGGTTTGGGGACAGACTCAGGGGCAGTGGCTGTGAACCCTCCAGACACTAAATCATTTTGTCTTGTCCTGTCTTTTGGGTGATGGTCTTGCTTCTTTCATCCTAGCCGGAGGCTCTCTGACCCAGGATAGGATGCAGAATCACAGCTCGGTCCAGGGGACATGCTTTGGATGTGCCTTGACCATCTTGGTTTGTGAAGAGGAGCATCATGGAGGGTATATTTGGGGAAAACAGAAAAATGACCCCAAGAGCACTTCTTGCTAATTTCTCACTCCTCAGTCTCCAGGTGCGGCTGTAGATGACCGCATGGAAGCACCTGTTTGATGTTAAGATTTTACTCCACAAGGTCAACTTTGCTTCTTACCTCCATGGCCATCAACTCCGTGCCCTCAAAGTTTACAAACTACTGCAATAAACAGTGTTCTGGGATTCCCAGGTGGTCCAGACGCTAAGAATTTGTCTGACAGTGCAGAAGGCTTGGGTTCAATCCCTGGTCCAGGAAGATCTCTCATGCAGGGGAACAGCTAAGCCAGAGCACCGGCTCCTGAACCTGTCTCTAGAGTCTGGGAGCTGCGACTCCTGAAGCCCATGTGCCTAGAGCCTGCGCTCCACAAGAAGACCAGCCACTGCAACGAAAAGCCCGCATCGCAGCTGGATGGGAACCCCACCTACTGCGAGCAGAAAAAGCCGTGTGCAGCCGTGAAGGCCCAGCACAGCCAACGACAAGCAAATAGATAAACATTTTTAAAAAAGAAAAAAAAAATGTTTCAAGCCAAGAGATTTCTTTTGGTCACTTATAATAAAAGACTTCTATACCAAATGGCATAAAAACATAAATAAATTTCCAAAGCTGTGGGGCCAATTATATTTGAAAACTCAGAAGAGCAATTTCACCCTGTCCTGCTATGGAAAGCCATTAATTTAGCAGGAGTCCCTTGGCTCAGCAACTGGCAAAACCTGGCACATGGAGACGGGGCTGGAAGACCTGAATACCACTGGCAATTTCTTTTCTAACTTGTTTTGTGGATAATCTCACTCTAGTTTTTAAACCAAACGACATACTTTTGCTGAATCCTTCAAATAATCAACTCAATTATTTGAAATAAATTCTAAGTTCTTTAAATAGTGCATTTGAAAAGCAGGTCTGAACAATAAAAAACTTTCACGTGGGAAACCAGCAGAACCCCGGGGCACTGCACACAAAGGGGAGACGCAAACAATCAATTTTCCGGTCCCAGGGAAGGTGCACAATTGTGCATCACAAACACATCCCATTAAACAGTAAATAACAAGCCGTCTGAACTGGCACTCACCGGTAGCTGAAAATATTGGGGTAATTTGAAAGCTTGTCACTGTGACATATTTCTCTTCCCAGGGAATGTTAGGAAAAGTATCATTTGGATCTGAATTATAGACACAGCTGATTTAATCCCATTTGCATAAGAATGTCCAAAATGTATATGAATGGGGCCAGGATGTACAAAGGATGCAAGGATGCAGGGAGCAGGCAGCAGCTTTCAAAATCTGCCTTGTCCTTTAGAGGCCAGGATATGGCAGCTGGAGTCATACTTGGCAGGAGCATTTTGATGAGAGAAATTACATCACACGTACAACAGGGAAGGTCAAATGGACTGATTCCGGCAGGTTCTCTGGAGCCTGGCCTCTTACTAGTTAGGCCAGCATCTACTAAATAAAAATGCACAAAAGCAGACAGACGCCTGGGAGTCCTTGGGCGTACTGGCAATGACCTTTCCCAAAGAGACAAAGAGGCCAAGACGATGCTGGTGTCAGCCCCTGCGGGTGACGAGCTCTGAGCCACGGAGCAGGCCCGGTGGGGAGGGAGCTTCAGAAAAAGCCCCACAAGGGCAAAACTTCCCCCAGAGTGAGCGCAGTTTGTGTAAAGCGGCCCAGAAGTGAAGGATCGGGACTCCCAGAACATTTCAGATCCTGAGTCCAACCCAGCACATCCACTGAAGGCTTTCCCTCCTGAATCTCAGAGGCAGAACAGGGCAGAGTGACCTGGAAGTGAGCCGTGAACTGCGGCGGGAGCAGGTGTCTGGGCGTTGCCCTCACACATGGACCCTGTGGGCCAAGAGGGCCTGAGGACCCACGGTGGCCAAAACTCCATGAAAATCCCTGTGATGGCTTCAGAGTCAGTGCCCACTCATGGAAGAAGTCTGATGAAAACTGAGATGAACGCTTTGATGTTACTTAAAAGCCAAGTCTGCAGAATTTGGGGCCAGTCCCATAGACAAATGAGGCGAACTGGACAATGTAGGACTGCCTAGTTCCCTGGAGCTCGGTGAGTCCTCCCTCCTGCAAAAGTTTAAAAACATCCCATAATGGCTAGATTGCTATTTCTCTTGTGCCTCAGTAAGCTTGTCTTGTTTTTAAAATTATACGCATTTATTCAAGATCGCAGAGATGGACGCAGCTGCCGCAGGGTCTGTAAAGTGATCACAGCTTGCTTCCTGTCCCTGGATCCCCTGATGACAGCGAAGGCGCTTGGCATCCATACTCTGCGGCCTCTGTCACCCCAAAAGTGACTGTGTAAGGACAGGATTTGGGGGCCTAAGAACATAGAGGCCTGTGGGGTGGGTGGGATCAGACTTGCCCCAGCGCCACAGAGAGACCGGCCAAGCTGCAGCCCCCGATCTCCGTCAGCTGGAGAAGGAGGCCCTGCCTCCCACCTGGACTGCCCCCCGGACTGGGGGAGGACACTGCTTACCTTGCCCTGGACTGTTCTCAGAAACTGCTGTGGCGTCTGCTTGGCATTGGTTAAAGTGACCATAAGCCTACACCTGGTCAGCAAAATCATTTGCGAGGGGTGCTAGTGGGGAAGGCCAAAGACAGTGAAACAAAAGGGACAGGGGCCCTTTGCTATTTAGCCACCCAGTCGTGTCCAACTCTGCGACCCCATGGACTGTAGCCCACAAGGCTCCTCTGTCCAGGGGGATTCTCCAGGCAAGAATACTGGGGCGGGTTGCCACTTCCTTCTCCAGGGGATCTTCCCAACCCAGGGATTGAACCCATGTCTGTCTCTGCTTGACAGGCAGTTTCTCTCCACTGAGTCGCCAGGGAAGCCCTGGTTGCATAGGTTTGTGGCAGCCATCAAAGAGTCCAGCCCTGGTCTCTGAGCCCTGAACCCTGCTGCCAGCCCTCCTCCCCAACAGGGGCGTCCTCTCTGCCTCCCTCTCCCACTGTCCTTCCCCAGGAAACCACGGGGCAAGGACAGAAGAGGAGAGAACGGGCACCGCTTCCGGATCGAGACTGTGTTTCCCTTCACTGCTGTACACGTACGTTGTTGCAAAAGTCTGACCTCATCCAGGGCACGTTTTAAAAGAGAAGACACAGAGTCAGATACCCTGACAGCTGCTCTGAGACTCCTGCTGCTGGCCTGGTGTGTCCCCTGACGGGAACGGGTGCCTGGACCCCTGGACCAGGACTGGGCGGGACGCGGACCATTCTGTGGTCATCGGCACCACGTCTGCTCAGAAAGTGGTCTTGCGGGTCCCTTTCAACCCCCCTCATCCTCCCTGCCCCGTGCCTTTCATCCACCTGCCTTTCCAGGAACTCAGACTCACAGACCTCGAATTTTACTCCTTTGCCTGGAAGTGAGTAGGGAAGGGCCACAGACCGGTCTTCCAGGATGGCCAAAGCAGGAACAGCCACCCCTGGCTTGAAGGGAGGCTGACTTCCTCCCTTCTGTGCTGTGCCTGCAACAGGTCGTAACAGGAAAACTTGGGTGGAGAACATGTTCTCCAGCAGCCACTGCAAGCCATCCATCCTCACCCAGGCATCAGCTGCCTCACTGATGACACATAGGATTTGAGTTGAGAATCAACCTGAATGGCGTTATTGAATGGAGACCTGGTGGAGTTACTTTGCCCAAAGTCACGATGCCAGCCAGCCACAGAGCCGGACCTCTGACCCAGAGCTGCAGGACCCCCGGCCCACCCCTCACCCAGCCCCACGTGGGACCTCGATGGCTCCGTCCACTCCTCAGGGCCCTGGAAGCAAGGCCAGGGCTGAGCATGGCCCCAGGGAGGGTGGGGAGGGAGGCACTGTCCACTGCAGACGTGGGGCCCACAGAGTGGCTGGGACCCCCACCCTCTGTTTGGGGTTGGACCCATTCCTGACTCAGTCAACAGAGTCAAAATGATCCTTTCCTTTCTCAAGGAAAGATGCACGGGGAAGTATGTGGCCACCTACCGATTCCTCTTGGTTTTCACGTCTGGGTCTTCCCTGCCATCTTCAGAACTTGATCCATCGCTGGGCTCGGCTGAAAGAAAGTCAGGTTCGCACGGTCAATACGGAGCTCGTGGCTTTGGCAAGCCACCGTGAAGCACCACTTCCAGCAGACTCAGCTTGAAATTAGGAAAACAGAGTCCTCTTAATGATGGACCTCAGTCTTTTAACTATACTGGTGGGTTTCTCTTAAAGCTGGACCTCCATCCTGTAACTATACTAGCGGGTTTCCCTTAAAGAGGGACCTCCATCCTATAACTATAATAACTATACTAGCGGGTTTCTCTTAAAGATGGACCTCCATCCTATAACTATAATAACTATACTAGCGGGTTTCCCTTAAAGCTGGACCTCAATCCTGTAACTATACTAGTGGGTTTCCCTTAAAGAGGGACCTCCATCCTATAACTATAATAACTATACTAGCGGGTTTCCCTTAAAGATGGATCTCCATCCTATAACTATACTAGCGGGTGTACTCCTTCCGTATTTCAGCAGGAGAGAAATCTGTGCTGCTTTTGTGCACAGAAAAGTCATCTCTAGCTGATGGCCGTGGAGAGACTGCCAGACCCTCCAGAAGGGTGGGCGAGGGGGTGCGTCCAGTTGATCCCACCCCTCGCAGGACGCGGGCCTGGAACAGCCCTTCTGTCCAAGCTGCCTCTGTGTCCCTGTGCTTGAACCGCAGACCCAGGCTCCCCCTTTGACTCCTGCAGTGAAGGACCCGGGTTCTCTGCACATGGCTGCAGACCGCTGCTGCCTACGTGTCTACTTTCTAAGAGCCAGATTGATTTTGAAGTCAGGTCCCTTCCTTACACCCTGAAGAGGCTGGCCCTGTAAATGTTTGATGAGCTTTCGGAATGAAAAAGTAAAAAGGTGCTTGGGTGTTTCATATTTGTCTCCAAAAGGAAAGAGGAAAAATGAGTATAAAGATGGTTCCAGAGCGTTATTATTTCGGTCCTGACAGGCTGAACGATGCCCAGACGCTCCTGGCATCACAACTGCCTGCTCGCCTGCTTTTCATTCTGTGTCTGTCGTCCCAGGAAGCCACTTTCTTGGAAACACGTCCCCAGCGGGCCCAGGGGCACTGCCGCCCGCACCACGAGGCTTGAACCCACGTCCTTCCTGGGGAGGCTCTCTAACGAGCTGGTAAAGAATGTGACGTTTATGGGGAAAGTATGAATATCCTTGGCGGAGAAGCCCTCCACTGCTTTTCTTTTCATGAAACCCGACAGTTGTCCGTGCGCACTGTCTGCAGCCCCAACAATGCCTCCAGCTCCCGCCCCGTGCATTCTCCGGCTGGCTCTCAGTGTGTGGTGTGGGGCTGAGGCAAGATGAGAAGAGATGTGGGTCACGCCCTCGAGGCGCCCAGCGAGCCCGGTCCACCCAGCCTCTGGGTTCTGGCGGCCTCTTCCCACCAACAGCCTGTCCATGCCAGACCCTGCGCTGCCCAGCGCAGCACAGTCAGGGGACCCAGGAGACTCCCTCGGCGGGACCTCGAGCCCAGAGCAGGGCCCCCCAAGCCCTGGCACCAGGGACACGTGGGCTGGATGACAGGGCGTCCTGTGCACCTTAGGGGCTGAGTGGCATCCCTGGTCTCTATCCCCGGACGCCTGGTACCCCTGCCAGTACTGACAACCACAAGTCTCCAGAAATCACCCAAAGTCCTCCAGGGGACAGAGCGCCCCATTCCCCAGCCCTGTTGAGAAGCAGCAGTCTGGAGAAAGACCCTCGTGAGAGCAAAGCTAACAGGAGGGGAGGGGCTCGCTCCATCTCACCCACACTCTCTCCCTACACACACCTCTGTGCCCCCCACCGTCACATAATTCAATGAGAAAGACAACACACACTTCACAAGAATACACAACAAAACAAATGGCCAATCAACCAGTCGAAATGTTCAATTTCTCTCATAATTACAGAAATGCCAATGGACACAATGAATGGTTTTAAAAGCTTAAGGTTGGATGATCCACAGTGCTCATGAGAGTAGCAGAATCTATTAGCAGGCGTGTGAACTGGTCCATCTTTTTGGAGGAAGATTTAGCAATATCTGTCACAATGTAAAATGCATGTACCTTTTGACCTGGTAATTCCAATAATATGAATTTATGCAATGAAAGTACTCATAAATGCTCCTGAGATAAATGTATGTGTACGAAGGTATTCTTATCAGTATCCTGTGTGGGCATGAAAAACCAATGACCTGGAAGTCCACCAGCTGGAAAGACCTGGTGGAGATGGCAGAGTCTAGTCAAGGTGGGGAGGGATGCGAAGGGAGGGGCTCAGAACACGTGTGCACACGTGCTAAGTTGCTTCACTTGTGTCTGACTCCGCAACCCCAGGGACTGTAGCCCACCAGGCTCCTCTGTCCGTTGGATTCTCCAGGCAAGGGTACTGGAGTGGGTTGCCATGCCCTCCTCCAGGGATCTTCTCAACCCAGGAAGTGAACGTGGCCCTCTTCCATTGCAGGAGGATTCTTTACCACTGGTGCCACCTGGGAAGCCCTCAGAATATGAGGGGTTGCCAAAAAGATACCCATAGTGATGAGAAGCAGAAAGTGCAGCAGGTCAACTCCTCAGCTGTTCTGTTAAAAATATGCATACCCACAAAGATCTACCTATCTTCACAATACATTGCCTTGTGCATTTAACGGGCAAGGAAGGGCACGTCCATTTTTGAAAAGGTGCTGAGTGTACAGGGAAGTTGAGGCAGGTAGTCAGAGGTCTTCTCAGGCTGCGAGAAACATGTCTTCCATCCCCTTAAAACGGCTGCCCTCATGCAGGCCCAGGTGGGCAGGGAAGTGGGAAGCACTAGTTTCTGAGGGAAACTGCTTTGAAAAGTGATATTCTGGTCTCTCCTATGTCCTGGGCCTCGAAGGCAGAGATAGGACATAACCGCTTTATCGGTACTGATTCAGGGGCATCTAGAAACCTGAACAAGCCTTGGCCCTGCTCACCCAGCAAACTGAAGGTGAGAGCTTACACAGCATCATTACAGATGTGGTGGCTGCACACCGGGCTCCGGAACCTTCCTTCCCATCACAGTTCAGTTCAGTTCAGTCGCTCAGTCGTGTCCGACTCTTTGAAACCCCATAGACTGCAGCATGCCAGGCCTCCCTGTACATCACCAATTCCTGGAGTTTACTCAAACTCATGTCCATCGAGTTGGTGATGCCATCCAACCATCTCATCCTCTGTCGTCCCCTTCTCCTCCCACCTTCAATCTTTCCCAGCATTAGGGTCTTTTCCAAGGAGTCAGTTCTTCGCTTCAGGTGGCCAAAGTATTAGAGTTTCAGCTTCAACATCAGTCCTTCCAATGAATATTCAGGACTGATTTCCTTTAGGGTGAACTGGTTGGATCTCCTTTCAGTCCAAGGGACTCTCAAGAGTCTTCTCCAACACAGTTAAAAAGCGCCAGTTCTTCAACACTCGGCTTTCTTTACAGTCCAGCTCTCACAACCATACATGTTGTTGCTGCGGCTGCTAAGTTGCTTCAGTCGTGTCTGACTTTGTGCGACCCGATAGACGGTAGCCCACCAGGCTCCCCCGTCCCTGGGGTTCTCCAGGCAAGAACACTGGAGTGGGTTGCCATTTCCTTCTCCAATGCGTGAAAGTGAAAAATGAAAGTGAAGTCGCTCAGTCGTGTCTGACTCTTAATGACCCCATGGACTGCAGCCCACCAGGTTCCTCCGTCCATGGGAGCTTCCAGGCAAGAGTACTGGAGTGGGTTGCCATTGCCTTCTCCCCATCCATACATGACTACTAGAAAAACCATAGCTTTGAGTAGATGGACCTTTGTTGGCAAAGTAATGTCTCTGCTGCCTATGTTGGTCATAACTTTTCTTCCAAGGAGCAAGCGTCTTTTAATTTCATGGCTGCAATCACCATCTGTAGTGATTTTGGAGCCCAAGAAAATAAAGTCTGTCACTGTTTCCATTGTTTCCCCATCTATTTGCCGTGAAGTAATGGGATCAGACGCCATGATCTTAGTTTTCTGAATGTTGAGTTTTAAGCCAACTTTTTCACTCTCCTCTTTAGCTTTCATCAAGAGGCTCTTTAGTTCTTCTTTACTTCCTGCCATAAGGGTGGTGTCATCTGCATATCTGAGGTTATTGATGTTCCTCCTGGCAATCTTGATTCCAGCTTGTGCGTCTTCCAGTCCAGCATTTCTCATGATGTACTCTGCATATAAGTTAAATAAGCAGGGTGACAATATGCAGCCTTGATGTACTCCTTTCCTGATTTGGAACCAGTCTGTTGCTCCATGTCCAGTTCTAACTATTGCTTCTTGACCTGCATACAGGTTTCTCAGGAGGCAGGTCAGGTGGTCTGGTATTCCCATCTCTTTCAGAACTTTCCACAGTTTGTTGTGATCCATACAGTCAAAAGCTTTGGCGTAGTCAATAAAGCAGAAGTAGATGCTTTTCTGACACTTTTTTGCTTTTTTGATGATCCAACTGACTTGGCAATTTGGTCTCTGGTTCCTCTACCTTTTCTAGATCCAGTTTGAACAACTGGAAGTTCACGGTTCATGTACTATTGAAGCCTGGCTTGGAGAATTTTGAGCATTACTTTGCTAGCGTGTGAGATGAGTACAATTGTGTCGTAGTTTGAGCATTTTTGGGCATTGCCTTTCTTAGGGATTGGAATGAAAACTGACCTTTTCCAGTCCTGTGGCCACTGCTGAGTTTTCCAAATTTGCTGGTGTATTGAGTGCAGTACTTTCACAGCATCATCTTTTAGGATTTGAAATAGCTCGACTGGAATTCCATCACCTCCACTAGCTTTGTTCATAGTGTTGCTTCCTAAGGCCCACTTGACTTCAAACTCCAGGATGTCTGGCTCTAGGTGACTAATCTCACCATCGTTATTATCTGAGTCGTGAGGATCTTTTTTGTATAGTTCTTCTGTGTATTCTTGCCATCTCTTCTTAATATCTTCTGCTTCTGTTAGGTCCATACCATTTCTGTCCTTTATTGTGCCCATCTGTGCATCACAGGGTACCTGGTAAATTTCGTCAGTGAGGGATTCTCTG